CCACATTTTACAGAGTACTAATTTATTAATAAAATTAATAAAATATCGGGTTTTAATCAATACGAGAGAGAGAGAGAGAGAGAGATGCTTGGGGTACATTTTTTAATTAATAACAGTAAATAATCTTAAATACAAAACTTAAAACAATTATATTTAATAAAACAATTCAATTGAGAGTAGGATACAAATTATACATGTGGTTAGTTTGGAGTCTACCAAACGTGTGGTAAATTGTATTTTCAATCTGTTTTTAAACATTAATTATAATTTAGAGTTAGTGTTAACTTATGGCGAACCTTAATTAATCTAAGTTTCTGTAACTTTAAAACAGTTTAATTATATAGAAACGTAAAATAAAGGATTAGTAAAAAATTAAATATAGGCATAATTATTGTGTTGTTATTAATATAAATTAATGTAATAAAACACTACTCAATATATTTGCGTGGATTGTGAACAAAATCTTCAATAATTTGCGACACTTTTGCCAAACTATTATCCGATTGTATTATTCGGGAGGACTTCGGCCAAGCGTTCAGACATCGCCTTATCGTTGAGCAGAGTATCGATCGCCGCCAACAGCTCCTCCTCCGAGCACTTGTATGCGTCCAGTCGTAGACCAAAGCCCTTGTCGTGAATGCGCTGCGCGTTATCTTATTGATCGCCAAATACAGGCATAACTATCATCGGTTTCCCAAAGAACATGGTTTCGGTGACCGTATTATTGCCGCCGTGTGTTAGCATCAGATCCACGAGCGGTAGAACCCGGAGCTGCGGTACGGACGCCGCGCCCCACATATTGTTGGCCAGTGTGTACTCCGTATGCGACGGACCCATCGATACGATGAAACGGTGCGGAGATTTGGCCAAAATGGCGACCAATCGGCGCATGTTTTGCGCGTCAATCGAAACGAGAGTTCCCATAGAGAAGTAGACCAACGCTCCGGGCTTTGCGGCCAACTCTGGCGGCACAGCGAATGGCAGGTGCTTTTCGGCGCGTAAATAATTATCAAAGCGGATATAATTTGCGCCCAACGGCCGGATGTCCTGATAGTCCAACTCCAGGGGATAGCCGTATATATGAAGATAACGCGAGTGATTGTGGAAATTGTATTCGGGCAGTGGTTCGGAGCCCCGGCCGACTACCCAGTCGTTGTAGAATTAAATTTATTAAGACATGATCTCAATCACAGATAAATCTCACATTTAAATGAAAACTATTTTTATGACGATTTAAATCTAATTTATTTGTCTAACTTTTATTGCATATAGTAGCATTAGTAGCTTTCTAGTAGCCATAAACCACATTTTACAGAGTACTAATTTATTAATAAAATTAATAAAATATCGGGTTTTAATCAATACGAGAGAGAGAGAGAGAGAAGCAAATTTTTTATATAGAAAGCCAAAACAATTTATAAATTTAGTTAACCATTAATCAAAAGTTATCAGCGGGCAATAGACTAGTAATAAACTAACAAATGTAACTAAAAACAATATTTTTAATTTATTAATATTATTGCTCTCGTTTACTTTTGCGCACCATTCCAATATAACCTAGTGCTAAAAAAACAATTGCCAACACTATTAAAGCTATTGAATCCCAGTGAATATTATCCTCGTGGAAACCCTGCGAAGTGATCACATTTGAACCGTTGCCATAACAATGTCCCACCGATTCGCTATTATTGTAGCATGGTATATAGTCAACTGTTCGCCATTGGCTGATCATTAGAGCTTCGTAACCATAATGAGACATGGTCAAATATTTTAACCAAATTAGCCATCCTTGTATTTCACTAATAAAATTGTATAATATAATTATATAATAAAATTGATTAAATTACAATATAAATTATATTTAAAATTAAACTATTGAATGTAGATATTATGTAGAAATTTTAATTAATCTAATATAAAGCTTTACATTAGCTAAAATTACTATTGAAAATTATCATGTTCAATCGTATTCTATTTATATCTGATAAATTACAAGATTTTAACCACAGTTCAGTTATGAATAATGTGGTTTATAGGATCGTTCGGCTACCCCTCAAACGCCCCCGGCTCTATGGGATTTAACATGGGATTACAGCTTAAGTCAATGGCTATACTTTAACATGAGGCTAATGTTATTCTATAAGTAATGTTAATCCTATGGAACTCATGTTAAGTCTATGGACAGTGTTAAGTCTATGGGGAGTGCTAATTCGATGGACTCTTATTAAATGTAATAATAAATGTATTATAATTAATATATATAAATATAATTAACTAAATAAATTAATTAACTAATATAAAAATTGTGTTTTCTAGTATTTTAAAAATCACATTGAGAATATATAGGATTAAAAACTATTGTAACCATATTAAAATTAAATCTTATCATAGCAATTAGCGATAATTTGGGTTTAACGTTATTAGAAAATACCCGGAATTAAGGAATAATCCACCAAATAGAGTCTGTATTAATAGCATAGGTGGCATGACAATCATGGACATTTGCAGATTGGGCACGATGGATGATATAAAACAGCCTGATTAATAAATTATAAATTTAAAGAAAATTATTAAAGTATTATTTATTATGCCAATTATTACCAGAGTTACAGCAGGCTCCGTCCTACAGGTGTTCACATACAACGTACATACCGTATAAAATGTCATAACTTGACATATAATACTATATCAAATCCAGGTGAGAAGAAAATGGTATCTAGGTAATATTAACGGAAGTTTTGAAAATTATATTAATATGTGCGTAACACTATCAATGATTATGGAAAATCACTTTAAAACTTGATTTGACATAGTATTATATATAAATTTATGTCGTTTAATACGGTTTGTACGTTGTATGTAAACACCTGTAGGGCAAACGCTGCTGTTGCTATAATTAATTACCAAAAAACCCGCCGCATAATAATAGTAACATGTTAGTTCCAACACAAATTCCAAATGCCTCAGGATTGGAATTTAAACCGGCCATAAAATACATAATTGATATTGAAATCATGGAAAGTACAATCGAAACAGGTATCTATAATAAGCATGATAATATATTATATTTAAGAATTGTGCACAATCTTTACAGCTATTTCATATCGTGGTTAATAAAATTAATTAAAACAAATATTAACTTGCCCTGATAAATATGTGCGACAAATAGTATGCCGACACTGAATACATATGATTATTGTGTTCGCGTAAGAAGATCGCTATTTCATCGCAGAATATCTATAAAAATATTATATAACCAAAAGGTGCTTGCTCAAATATTTCCAACCCCTTAAAACACTTACATTAATAAATTGAAATAAGTTAATCATATAATTGTTTAATGTGATCAGAAATAGTACGCCATTAATATTGTCAACATCAGTGGATATCGGGTACTGTTTGTGAAATATTAAGCCAATAAATATTGACGAAACCTATTTGTGAAGTAAAAATAAAGATCAAACTTATTATTTATTTAACAAAATGTTTACACACTATTCCACTTACAAGGGACCTAGATCAGCTGCCCGAGTTATTTCAAATTAAAACCTTTGTTATATTGTAGATTATAATTGTTATTTTTACAAATATATTTTGTGATATAATCTACCTTATAACTAAGCTTTTAATTTTTTAATACCTCGGACAAATGACTCAAGTCTTTTTTAATTAATTTAATTAAAATAGAAATTGTTCAAACTAGCTGTTTAACATTTGGTTATCATATGTGACCAAACTAATACAAGCAAATTTACAAACACTATAATAACTACTATTAACTACTATTAACATAATATACTATTAACATTATCTTAATATAATGATAGTTTAATAAATAAATTTTAATGTAACTTGATCCAAGAATATTTGCAATAGTTTTTGTCTTTCTAAAAAATTTTAAAATTTGCTTATGATTGCATGCAAATATATGCTGGGTAATACGGTATACTACAGACCAATAATGTTGTCATTTGAGCTTTAATAGCTGCAGTGTTACGGATTGTAATTAGAAATAAACGCATCATTAGAGTGCTAAATTGAAGCCATGAACTTGCTAGTTTAGTTTCATAATTTGTAAAACTTGAAAAATGGCCATAATTAACCATGTCCATTTTTGTCTTATTAATGTCTGACAATAAGGTGGCGTTATATTCAGAGTCTAGGAATTTATCGCACAATTTCTGAAAAATTAATTAATTAAAGCAAAAAATATTTTAGAAATGCATATTTTAAAATTAATAATGGTAGAAAATATTTTAAAAATAATTTATGCAACATGTTAATAATAATATATAAATTTTATACGTAATAACAGATTATATGAATAAATTGTAAAAATAAATTTACATTTGCATTTTTCTTAGTGTGTGGGTCAGATGTGATTGCTAAAATAATACAAAACATTATAAATATTTAATTAAATTAGAAAGGTGCTTTTATAATACCAACCCAATTGATTCATAAAATAATCGCTAGGATTATAGTTACCCGGACAAATCTAGAGCATAATTAATAACTTAATAAAAGGCACCAACATAATCAAATCACACTCATAGCTACAGCAGCGCCTGTTTAGGTGTTCACATACAACGTACATACCGTATAAAATGACATAACTTTACACATGTCAAATCTAGTTAAGAAAGAAATGCTATCTTGCTAATATTAACCCAAGTTTTGAAAATCACATTAATATGTGCGTAACACTATCCATGATTATGAAAAATTACTTTAAAACTTGATGTGACATAGTATTATATGTAAAGTTATGTCGCTTAATACGGTATGTACGTTGTATGTGAACACCTGTAAGGCGGAGGTATCTGTAGCTTTGATCACACTTACATAACCGTGTGATGTAAAAAAGTTCTTTACTTCACCTGTAAGTGTATTTAATTTTAGATTTTAATTCCAATTAATTAACAAATTAAGACCAAACCATTGGTTCCCATGAAAGCAACCCTTCCGTCGGTCATCAGTAATAAGTGGTCGAAAAGTGCGAACACTTGAGACGACGGCTGATGTATAGTACAGACTATAGTCCGGCCCTCACAGGCCATAGCCTTCAATAGCCGGACAATACTTTCGGCCAGAAATGAGTCCAAACCACTCGTCGGCTCATCGCTTGTAATCAAATTAATATCAATATAAATATTATAATGCAAAATAATTTATTAAAAATATTAACTAATATAAATAGTATAAAATGTGTAATATAAGTATTATATTTTTATTAAAGATATATAATTTATATCAAACATTATATTTACCAAAACATTAACGAAGGATTTGTTAAAATCTAAAATAATTAGTAATTATCAAATACAAAATATCATTAATTTAATAAATGTGCAGTTTATACAATTATGATACAAAAATCTCACCTCTGATGCGATTGATAAGCGTTTCATTTCTCCCCCAGAAATGCCTTTAAATGTCATATCACTTCCAATTCTGCTCTCCGAACAATTGACCAAGTTTAACTTTAATTATAAATACAATATTTATCATAATAGCTAATGCAATATTTAAAATAAGTACAGCCAAAAATAGACCCAATGCTTCCTACATCTAAATAGCGTTGCCAAACATACAGGAACTTTCTGTATTATACAGGAATTCTCACAGAATACAGGAAGAAATTTTCATTTACATTGCAGAATACAGGAATGAATTTTTCAAAAATAAGCTGTAATACAGGAAAATACAGGAATTTTTGGCAATTTTTTCACATTTATACAGGATTTCCAAAAAATGATTTGGCAACGCTACATCTAAACCTTGTACTTTAATATAAAGGCTATATTTATAAAAACATCTTGGTGATTTAATACCAACGTTATATTATTAATATATCCTATTTTATTTTGCCATATTTTAATTTAGGTTTATATCAAAAGTATTTACCTTAATTAAAATATTTTGAACCAATTCATTTTTCTCAGCATGAGACAAAGTTCCAGCCAGTCGCAAAGTAGCCTAGATTACAAATTAAATTAATAATTATATTAAGCATTTTAGAAATAATATCTAATTAATAACTAATACATTAATCATGAGATGCTCTCTAACGGTAAGCAATGGATGAAACAAATCGTTTTGTTGGATATACGACGAGATGGAGGCCAGAGTCCGCCCGTTTACCGGCCGTCCGTTTATCAGCACTTCTCCGGTGACCGACATTTTGCCCATATTTCTACCGGTGAGTGCATTGAGCAGGGTCGTTTTGCCAGCACCACTTGACAGGTAATTTAAAAGTAAATATTTATTGAGTTTTACAATTAAATTTATTTTGTCTACACAAGATAACAATTCAACGTTATTTTTAAAATCATGGTATAATTATAAATTAATGGTAGAGCAATATAATATTTAAAAATAACTTAAAAGTTAATTAAAGGTAAATGTTTATTAAATTTGCATTTTATTAAATTTAATCGATAAATATAATTTACATAGTACAATAAATTAGTTAAATAGTACCTAGGTCCCATAATAGCCAATAATTGACCAGGCGCGATATTTCCAGATACTAATTCATAAATTAATTACATTATTAAGTAAAATATACATAAATATAAAGATCATTTTAAAATTAACACAAATAATTAAACTAACTCACCATTTCGTACAATCTCTTTGGGTGCTTGGGCATTTTGATAACACCTATAAATTGTTTTATTAATTTTGGTAAAAACCTGTAAATTTAACCATGATAAGTTGACTTTGGTCAAACGATCTCTACTGGCTCTATGAGACTCATTGATCTCCAATACAACTCTCATATTAATCAATATAATAATTATTTTAATTTAAACACTATCAAAGTATTTTATGTAAATTATCACGCTTATATATTCAGTTAATCTAAGCACATTAATTAAATACAAATATTAATTGTAAACATAGTAATATCCTTTATAAACAGTTATAAATATACGCATTTTAATATAACAACAATTCACTATTACCATGCAGATTCATATGTAAAAATCCGGTTTTATAAAATATAATAGTTAATTATTAAAAAGTTATTAGAAATTTTCATTTTGGTAAACAATATTAAATTATTATTATTATTATTATTATTAGTAATAATCACCAAATCATTGTAACAAATGATGATCATGTGGTTTTGCAAATTAATGTGTTGATTAAAACCAGCATCACACAGGGTAGAACTAAAAATTTAACATTTTTAAATTGTAGTTAACCGAATTGTGGTTAACCTATACCATCGTTGTGTAATCCATGTTTAAGTAATAATTATAAACATGTGAATTAAATTTATATTTAAAATTACAAATAAACAATTTTTTAACAAGAAACTATTCAAAACCTAACCAACTTTTGTGGAAAACTCATGCATACAAGCGGGTGACCCGACCCTTAAACACCTGATGGGCGCTTTGAAGTACACAAAACTGCCTGACGTTAAACATATGGACACCTGTTTCGGGTCGGGAGTACAGAGTGAACCATTAAAACCGGTGACGTTTTGGATACACGGCGGGGCCCTAACCGTTGGCTCCATATACCAGCAAATGGACAATGGTAGTATATTGGCAACAAATAACGTGGTGTTCGTGTCGGCCAATTACCGGTTGTGAGAGTTGGGCTTTCTATAAGGCGCCGACAAAACTGCGCCCGGAAATGCGGGCTTTTATGACCAGTTATTGGCTCTCAAATGGGTATCAATTGATCGCTTGTTTTAAAAATAATTTTTAATTATAAATAAAATAATATATAAATTTATGTAATAATAATAGGATAGAGAAAACACATCTATTTGGCGGAGATAGGGATCAGATCACTATATTTGGCGCGAGTGCCGGCAAGTGGTCTGTGTCCGCACACCTGTTGTCACCGTTAAGTAAAGACCTATTTAAGAGGGCTATTATACAGAGCGGTGTCCTTATGTTCAATAAGGATCGGCCGGTTTTGGGTACTGTCGACGGGTTGGCGAAGGCCAAGGAGATGGTCCGTAGGGTTGGTTGCGATCCATACGACTATAAATGGTTAGACTGTTTGCAAACAGTGAAAGACCCGGAGCTGTTGTTGACGCCCACACCTGGAGATTCTGCATATGTGTTCTCGTATCCCGTGTTTGGCACTAAATTGTTGCCACTTTTACCACAAACAGCATTTGCGAGAACGAAAATATGGACTAATATTGCTAAAAATATGTTAGTATTTCATTTATTTTATATCATTTTTCAATGACCTTAACTTTTTTAAATTATTTATTTTATTATTTATATGATTTATAGTAAACCACATGACGTTTGGCCACAACTTTGGGACAAATCTGTGATTCGAGTGAAAGACTTGAATCCCAACGATATGTCACTTATTCTCAACAATCTATACGAGAGTACGTGTGATGGCATTTGGAAACACTATTTCTCATCAAGGTACCTCGGCACCGGCACCAATATTTCAATCACTAATCAAAAACAACTTATTATAATTACATTTTAATGATTCGTGCTTTTTTATTATATTTCCTTGCTATTAAATTTACCATTATTTGCTGTAAACAAAATAATTAGACCAAATTCGTTCAATATTAAATAATGTCTATGTTATTATTAATAATATTTTTCATTGAAAGAAATTATAAAGCAATTATTTTTATTTATAATTAAAAGTATGAAAAGGTAATATGTATAACCTATATAAATTCACTTACATGGAGTAAAAATCAATTTGAAAACATTATAAATACGTGATTATATTTTCTATGGTAAGTTAGTTATGGTAAGAAATTATTATAATTAATTGTACTAATGATTATATTCCATAAATTTGAGGACTAGTACTGTTTAGTTACTAAAAAGTTACTAAACTTTAGTACATATTTGTAGATATTTTTATGACTTATTAAACTATTTAAATTAACCAACAATTAATTAATTTAGAAATATTATCTAAAATTTAGATATAATTTAATAACTTTATACAACAACTAATAGAGAATTACAAACTATCATGAAACTAAGCATGATTAACTACAAAATATTGCGCTCAATCATACGGCCATTGCTTTGGTTTCATCGCATTATTGGCCTAACATTTAACGGTCTATCCATTGATCGGGACTTTAATATAAGGTCAAATAAATTAGCAAAATATTATGGTTACACATATACGGCATGTATTGTATGTTATTATGTAAGCACACAAATTTATTTAATTACCAATGCACACCATTTAATTAACGAAAGTTTTGGCCAAAATACCTCGATGCATATTAAAATTTTACTCACCTTATTAGTGATAATGATGATTATTAATTATATTCTTACTGTCTATGTAATAAATTTTAAGTTTAACATTACATTTATTCGGACATTTATTGACTATATTCACCTGGATCGAATTGCGAATAAAATATTCTTGATTGTGTTATACTATTTAATAACAGTTACTATATTTAGCATATTTGAAATAATTCATGGATTTAATGTTGGTGGATTAATTGTGTTACCACAATGTTTGACCCAGATTTATTTATTTGTGACACACACTTCATTTGTTTGCATATTATGGACTATCGTGATCATTTATTGTGATGAACTCGACTGTATATTTAATAATTTGATAAAAATACAAGAAGGTAATGTATTTAATAATTTAAATCCGTATTTATTGTAACTTAAATAATATTTAATTATTCCTTGTATTTAAAGGCAAATTATTTATTAGATCAATAAATAGTGATGGTGACAATATAGCTGATTTATTGAACAAATACAAAACACGTTTTATGGATATACACAAATTGCTTAAATTGATCAATGCAACATTTTTTTGGAATATTATATTTACGATAATTACAGCCATATTCTCGATAATGTTTTTTGTTTATATAATATCTTCGATGAATAGTATTAAAAATCTTAAAGATCTATCAAATGGATTGATCATGGTGACAATTGTGGATATTATCGAAATGATTGTTACATTTATATTATGCGATAATTTGGTTGTAAAATTACATAAAATTAGTGATGCGTTGAATGGCGTGAATGTGAGGGATATGTCTATTGCTGAGTACAGGGAATGGCTTACGTTTACGACTGCTGTTAGAAATAGTCATACGTTTGGCTTAACTATCGGAGGATTCGCTCAAATCAATAAATCAACACTCATTTCGGTATTTAATTTATACATTGATTACTAAAATATTAATATTTGTTTAATTTACAGATATTTACATTTGTATTGAATTATACGGTAATTCTATTTCAAACGGCAAACAAATGATGTGTTAATTTATGGAGAGATTTGCCATATAAATATTTATCTTTAATCATATTAATTCTTAATTATTTAATTAATCTTAATTAATTAAAAAATAATCTACTACAACATACAATAAGTTCCTTATTATAAACTAATGTTACAATAAAAATATTTTTCAGTTAAGTAAATAGTATATATTTGCCCCAGTTAATAGTATGGTTATAGTTAAACACAAGTATCAATATTAATTAAGCACAGGTAATTTAATCGCTTATAATTTATTTGTAATTTTTTAACCTGCACAATATTTGATACGAATAAAATAATTATTAATGATTATTATTCTTTAAAATTACTTTGACGAAAAATGAATTACTATATCTACGTAATTCTAATCAATATTTCATTCAAACAATAAAATTATTATGATTATTTTATGTTGTAAACAAGATAATTAAATCAAATTGATGCATTGATCAAAATAGTTCATTATGAAACAACAATTATTCTTAATTTATTTTATGCTATTTTATCATATTTATCCTATGAAATAAAACTTGCAACTATATTCTATTACAGATTTTCAAACGGTTTATAAATTTTACCTTAATAAAATAAAATAACAAGAAAAATAATTATAACTACATGTCAATAATATGCTTTCAATTATTCCGTGTAACATTAATTGCAAACGTTATGGCAAAATTTTATGACATAAATCAGATATAATTTGTAACAAAAGCATCCATGTGTAAGGAAACTATTTTTTGGTTTTAATAATTGTGATAACAGTTTAGTGAGTGAGTGAGAGAGAGAGAGAGAGAGAGAGAGAGAGAGAGAGAGAGAGAGAGAGAG